AGATCAAAGGTATTTCCGCTTAATGGGGCTATTCATGATTACACCAGGTTCAAACACTTATTGCCACAGAGGCTTTGACTAATCAAGGATGCCACTGTGTGACCGTTTCGCACTCGCTGTTTTCAACCTGAACAAGTCGAAATATGAATAGAAGCTGACTTGAGCAATTTAACACCGTTAACCGTTAGTTTTCTTCAACTTGAACGTAAGAGTTGAATGTTTGCTGCTGATGTTACATTGTTACCATCAGTTGCAATTTTGGAGAAATTCCAGTGAACATGTCGTGCAGCGCATCTCAAGCTTGTGGCAGACCATCTCAAGCTCTAAACTGTTGATTATCTTTCAATGCTGACGGCATCCATAGCATCTCTGCGAATGCTACAAATGCCATTGTTCAGGCCTTGTTGCCGCCTCACCGCATTATCATAATGCCCTATGCTAATACGATCTGTTCATGAGTGGCTGGCTACTTGTGTAATACTGTCATCATCGTAATTGTTCACACGTTTCCGCTCAGAGTTCAACTGGGCGAAACATAGTAGACCGCTGACCATGATATCCGATGCGAATCTTTTGCCAAACGAGATCCTGTATCCAAACAAGTGAATCACCAAATCGCTAGACATCTCTCTAATGGGAACACCATCTATGCACATACAGCCTTGTATCGTCGAATTCATTACTCGAGACTTGTTTCTGTGTTGTACAAGATCTGATCGTTGTCCGATCCTGAACAAGTCTTGACTGAAATTGGCTCTGTCAAGTCGGCGTAGTACGAGGCAGTCAGTCAAACACTATAGCGCTAACACACTATGACAATAATATAATAGCATAATATATTAGAAGTAGTTTCGATCACGCTGAAAGATACTTCAAAACAGACAACAAGGCATCTTTCTCTTGTACGTCAACATTGAAATCCCAATCACCCAGTCAAGATCTTTATCTCACTGAAATTGGAAGGATGCAGAGTACGGAGCATTGAATTCCATTGTTGAAGAGACCGCGAGGCGAATATCATCAATATCAGCAAACTTCAGTCGCTTTGCAAAAGTGTTGATATCTGCGGCTAGGAAACGTATTCCTCGCGGTTATCGCAAAGAATACATTCGTTATTGAACGGATGACTGCAGAACCTTCGGAAAGAGTATAACAAATCGGGAATCTCGGTTATTGTTTATTGAAATCATCACCTTGAGTCGTTCGCTAAACGTCTCTGGTTATTTCCAAGAGATCGGTTTCACTTCTGATGCATGGCATCGATTACTGCGTAATAGAAGGAACGTTTGCGGATGCAAGCAGATATGTATATTCCTTGTTCATCTTTTTCGCATGCAGTTTTTGTGGTTGAGGTTTATAATGATTTGACTCCCAGCGAAAAGCTCGAAGAATGGAGTAAATAGTTGTAACTGCATGCAACTTGTCCAACGAGAATAGTCTTCTTCTTTTAATCTCCACCTCTAGAGAGGCCATCGTATTTGAAGAAAATAAAGCCATTGGTTACGTAGCCCTGCCATCGTGGGATACAGCCGTCCTCTTAGTCGTTCGTTAGAACAACTGCACTGACCTGACCGAGTCAAAGTACAGGTAGACTTTTATAAAAAGGCTTACTCCTGTTGGAAAGAGAAATCCAGACATCGCAGCTACCCTTACGAGGTCGCTAGAGATCGGTGCTAAGTCGGTTGCTGCCTTGATCTCGACAAACTCGAAAATAACCCGTACGGATATCAGATGCCAGCTGTTCAACGAAAGAGTCATCGATCTTGGAGTGGCTAAAACGAAGATTAGAAAGGATTTCAAGGCCACCATCTCAGTCGCACCAGAACAGCAATGTTCATATACACTGTCAGGTAAAGTCAGAATAATGGCAACGGTAAGCCGCGGAATCCTGGAACTTCTACTTAGCCGGATGGTGAAGCTTTCTGTTTCCCTTAAAAAAAGACACTTCTCTGCATGATGTAGTCAACCACGATGCTGAACAACAGAGGAGCAAGGACTTCACCTGGACGAACCGTTTTTGTTCTCGGCAGCACGCAGTGTTCCTTCGTAAAGTCTTTCCGTAAGTCTTACTATCTTGTCAGGTATTCCATGCTAACTGATGATTCGCTACATATGCGGCATTGGACTTGATCAGGGAATGACTGAAGTACAGGAATGTCAGTTGCCAGAGAATCTGAAACTTCCGGCATAGCTCGATCACTTTTTGTTGCACGAAGATGTTATCTGTTCAGGAATCACTTTGGAATCCTGTATGGTTCTTGCGCAAAAATTATTTCACTCTCAACTTTGGTCTGATGAAAACCATCCGTGCGAAAATCTTCTCAAGAACTGATAACAGGGTAATGCAGCATATTCACAAAAGCTTCCACGTTTGAAGGTTGGGATAATCACTCCATTCTTCCAGTCTTCTGGTGTAACTCAATTTCGATCTTCTTTTTC